GGGGGGGGGGGGGGGCAACGCGGGTACCATGGGGCGGGCCGCGCGAGCTTTTGAAATATGACTCCCTGCTGCCATCGTGGCGCCCTGCTAACTGAGGATGTCCTGCCCCTACACAAGCACAGGTGTGCGGCGATACATGCCCACACACAAGCACACCTGCGCACACACACACATGCACGCACACACACACACACACACACACACACACCTCGCAGGTGTCCCAGTACTCGCCAAAAGCCATCTGGGGGACCTGGGGGGCGGGGGGGAGGGAGGTAGCAGAACCCAGGGGGAGGGGTTGCATGCGGTGCGCGGGGCCAGTGTGGGGTGGTCAAATTGCATGTGATTCAGGCGTTACCAGGGAACTGAGGAGGGCGTGACGCCACATATCGGGGCGGGAGATTGGAGTGTGAGGGGGCTTCATGAGGAGGTGGCGGGCATCATTCGCGGGCACAGGTGTGAGAGACCTCTTGGGGCCGGGCCGCGAGCGTGGTTGTCACGCGGCGTCATGGTTGCGCTGTCCGCTCGTCCAATTTACAGATCAGTGAGGAGGGGGGGGGGCAGCACCTTTGGTCGGCACAAGGTGCGAGCCTGGCTCGAGGCCAGCGAGCTCTGTTCTAACAGCAGAATGTCCCTTCGCGCCTGTTGAAAGCCAGTCGCGTTCTACAAGCCCTGGATGCATGCAAGTGGATTGTCAAAAACCCACCCGGGCCGCATGCATGTGCCACAGACCTCACACACTGCACAAACCAGGGCCGATCGACACAACCGTGGGCCCCGAGGCGCCCCCCCACCGTGGCGTCGATGTAAGCCTTGACGTAGTTGCCCCCGTAGCCGCGCACAAAGTCAAAGCGCCAGCCGTCAAAGCCGACGGTCTTCAGGTACTTGAGCCAATCCACAATATCATTGCGGATGCGCTCCTAGGTTTTAAAGAAAAGGGGGGGAACGGGCGAGGGCCAGCGTGAGTAAGCTTCGCACGCGTCAAGGGGGGCGGCTGTTGCTGTCGTGGATAGGTGAGGCGTGCGCGCGCGTGCGGCCGCAGCTTGCGGGCCCGCAGGCGTCGGGCGGGGGCGGAGCGTGGGGATTCTTGGGGGGCTGTCGGGAGGCCGCGTCTCGGCGCAGGTGGGCGTGTGCGCGTGGTTGCGGTATAAGGCAAGGTGCGAGCCGGGAACCACCAGGTGGGGCCAGGCACCACCAGCAAGGAGGCCAATGGGAGGCAAAAGATCCCTGCCTGGCGGTCCCGCACGCGTCGACTTGGTCGCCCGCCAGACGCCCCATCCCCTCAACCACCCATATCCCTGACGGCCCCTGGGCCCGCACCTGCGTGTGGTCGATGTTTGGGGCCGCCGGGTAGTCGTCGCCCGTCTTGTGGCTGCCGCGGCCGCCCCAAGCTGCGGCAGGCGGAGAGGCGCGGGCGGGCGGTTCAGACACACACGCCCGGGGCCGCGGGCGCGCGCGGGAGGGGCGCCGGGGCTGCCTGCACGGACGCCTTCGCCCGCTGCGGCGCCGCGCTGCGCTGTGCAGCTGCTTTGTTGGATGGAGGCGGGGGCGTGCGCATGGCCACCCGCGACGCAACCAAGGCGGCGTGGCTCAGACGGCTCTCGTCGTAAGTTGCCTGCCCGCGCATTCTGCAGCTTACAAGCAGGCTTAGGCAACATTCATGCAGTCAGGCGAGGTAAGTCTTCCCCCCCCGGCAATTGAGGCCAGCCAGCGGGGTGGGGGGTGGGGCACGCCTGGCGAGCCGTTTGCCAAGCACGCCGCCCAAAGCCCAGGCCCCAAACCCTTCTCACCCGGGTTGTTGTTGCAGATTGCGGTGGCGTCCCAGGCGAGGCGGCCCCCAAACTTGTTCCACTTGCCGTCGCTGCCCTTGAAGTTGGCGCACCTGGTTTTTTTGGGGGGCGGGGGGCGTTCAGGGGTCACACAAAACGCCAAGGGTTCAACGGTCGCAAGGGATGCCAAGGGTTGAACGGCCACACAGGGCAGGTGCGCGGGGTCGCCAGAACGTCGTGTTCGCATATCACTTGTCAAGCCATGCGTCGCACGTGGGATCCAGGGGCCGCGTGCGGCAGCCGCGCGGCAGACCCCACGACAGGCCTAGGCGCCTCCAAACCGGTGCGCCACCCGTCCACCGCTTCCTCCGAGGGGGCAGCGAGGGGAAACGAACGGTCACCTGTGGTTGATGACGATGTCTGCTATGGCCTTGATGCCGACCCTGTGCAGCGCCTTGAGGGCCTCCCGCAGGTCCCCCTCGCTGCCGTAGGCCGTGTCCAGCAGGTACAGGTCACTGGGGGGGGTGGGGT